AACAGTAGCTTTAAATTTTGCGAACTCTGACCGAAAAGTCGCGGGCTTTCACAACGAAATGCATATCCAATCAGACGTCTTTTCTTGACAGTCAAAGAACTTGAAAAGAAATTCCCCTTTTATAACTTACTGTAGGTAGACTTTAAAATGAAGTTCTTTTTATCTCATATCTATTCTTAGACTAATTTTATCGTGASAGAAATACGAAACTAGAGCTAATAAGTATAGAGGCAATAAGTATATTTTGTTTCTTCGATGACATCACTGGCGTTTTTGATAGAACTATGGTGAGAACAGGGTGAGAAAGGGGGAAGGGGGGTTGCGGCGGAGGTGGGGTGGGGTGGGGATAATTATGAATCATGTTACCGCGGAAATAAAACGGTGGAATCCCGTTTCACGAAATAATGAAACTGGCCAATTTACTGTTTTAAGAAAGAAAGAGCGGGACGAGCGAATCAGGAAGAAGGGAGAAACAACGAAAAACTATTTTTGGCTTTCACTTACGTCATCGAAACTTTTTCCAGTTAAAAGAAGTTTTAGATATGGAGATACGAGCGATTGATTATACTACATAATTTAGTTGAAATGTATGGGTCCTCCATCCGATTGAGGGGCACAAAGATGGCGGACAAAATACGATGGTTGAAAATACATAATTATTTTGGTAAAGCTTTTCTTAKGACGGTATAAACAACATATTTAACGAACAGTTTCGTGGAGTGAATACTTTGGATTTTAGTTGTTTGATGACGTCACGCGAAATCCAAGAATAGGGAGAAGGGAGAGCCAGTATCAAGAGATAAAATCCAAAAAAAAAAAAAAAATCAAATCAAAAAATCAAAATATAATCATTATGACATAAATGACATGACATGACATTACCATATTTTACATTAGTTAAAATAATAATATAATAATAATAAAATTAAAAAGCACGCGATACGGTAAATTGCTGTTCTTCTATTTTCAGCAACCAAAACAGAGCTCCTGTAATTCTTTAGCAGTGGCTTCTTTAAGGTTTCTCTGGCTATTTTCTTCACCCTTTTCCAGTCTCCTACAACTTTATAGACGTTGTTGTATGGGTTAGCAGGATCCTTTATTTGGGGCCTTAAAGAAAAGAAAAAGTTTTTTTTCTTCTCTTAAATGCATCAACAAATTGCATTTTACGCGTTTGTATAAACACCGACGTAAAGCCCGTATTTTTTATAAAGACATTGCCTTTTAGTCCTACAACAAATTTACGTCCTCGAATATCAACCAACACTATTGTTATAGTCTGTTAATCAGCAGTGAAGAAACAATTTTGAGAAATAGAACAAGTTTCTTTAATCCAAACATGTTTGGCGTGATACCGCCATCATCAGTGGATATTAATGATGTAACAAATGTATAACCTAGTTTATATATAACTAAAGAAAGCACGTGAGAATTTGGTTATACTTTATCCAGCCAATCAGCGCTCGCATTATAACTTACCAATGGATAATATACCGATGGACAAGATACTTTGCATATTGAGACCAAGATAAACTGTAGTACGTATCCCACTTGACATACAACTGCTYGTGATTATATAACGCTTCCATTGCATCTTTGAACAACACAGCTGTAATAAACCAATCTGGGCTTCCTGCCTTTTCCCAGACATCGATCGTCAGAAGTTCTAACAGGTAAGAATTAGGCATCCGCGGCTGTCCATATTCCCGTGGTAGATACGTCTTGCACCAGTGCTTCACCAGACGGATAAGACTTTTGAGTTTAGTAGGCCTCTGCTTTATGAAATCACGTTGTAACTCTGCTAGTGCTGCAGAGCATARTTCTCGTGTATACCAGTCGTATTCTGCCATGGAATTATAAAGCTGCCGACGAGAATATTCTGTGAGTGAAAAAAAAAAAAAAAAAGAAAAAGAAAAACGTTTAGTTGTTTGATGCAACGGGAATGGAGCCGAGACTTGGCACAAATAGACTCTTCCCAAATTAACTTTAATGACCATACAACAACTGTATCAGGCCACGTTAGTGCTGTCTGATATGATACTCAGTGACTTTTAATTCTCATATGTTCCTTCCACTAAAATCAGCGCGAACCAATTATCTTTCCATCATCATCATCAGATTTCCCCCCTCAGCCCGTCCTTGGCCTTAGGGCACAACTGCTCCGGGAAAACGTTCTCTTAGCAGATGTTTGAACTTGGTTTTGTCCATCATCATTTTCCTGGCTTGCATTGGATCTATCTGGAGGAGATCCTCAACTCGCTTCCAAACTCTTGAGATGGTCCTTTTATCAAATAGGACCTGTTTCTGGAGGGCGTCATTCTCCATGCGACAAACATGGGCCATGTATTTAAGATGCTGGACATGGCAATAATCTTGGATGGAACTGGATTTTGTTATTTCCCGTAGTCGCTCATTTGATATTTTATATCCCCAATCCAGCTGTCCTTCCACCAAGGTGGCTGGGTCGACACCCTTTTTTTGCTTGTTACAAGGAAGAGCATTTTTCCGGGTTGTGCAAATTGTGCTAGATAAAGTAGAACTTCATAAAATGCAGCAAATTCATGAAGACATCAAGTCCAACWTCGACTTGAATCAATTGGTATATTCAGTAATAGACCATTCTAAATGATACGGTGGCCATCTTGAACTATRTATGGGATGCCGAGGGGGAAAACTTAGAACATTTATGAAGCATAGAGTGGCGGGGTTACGTTTACAAGTTTTTTGAAGTCTAGAAGTTTCGCATTATGCTACAACCACCAGCAAATTCCACTTTCTAGGAAAAACTTCTTGAAAAATAGCTTTAAATATAGTGGAGCAGTTGCCTGGAATTCTCGGCCATTAAAGGTACGAGAATCAATAAAAGTCTCCCTGTTTTTAAAAGGAAATTCTTAATTTAGTATTTGCTTGTATATATTTCTTATTTTCTCTATTTACATTTGTTTTTCATGACACGGCTCTCAGGAAGAGCGATTCCGTGTGATTCCGTGTATAAATGAAGATTATTATTACTATTATTATAAATTCAGTTGCTCTTTAAATGTGCTTTTCATTGAAAAGCGTAAAGTTCATCGTAAGGTTAGATAAAAACAAACAGCTGTGCATCCCATGTCTTTATCAAAACATAGAATTCAAGATGGCCGCCGTATCAGTAAAAAGGTCAATTACAAATGTTTCAAGTACCGGGGCATTTTAATAGGGAAAGAGTATCCTAGTTTTTAGCCTAAGCATTTATCGTCAGAAAAAAGTAATCGAAGCAAAATGCTTGTATGAAAAAGGAAGGAAGGAAGGAAAGAAGGAAGGAAGGAAGGAAAGAAGGAAGGAAGGTACAAATAAGAAACCCTGGTTGGTCGATGAGCTCATGAATAATTAATGGTATAAGATCTGTTTTTCACCTCAACTAACTTACCGTCTTGAACGGCTGCATAAAACGTTGGCAAAATGTCCACTTCTACGCTTTCATTCCGTTCAAAATTTTGCATCTCAATTTGCACCATGAATATGTTGTCTCTGATGATCTTGATTCCCCAACCACTCTTTCTTAAGGGATCCGTGTTAAGGAGCTCTTTGAGCTGATCTAAAATCCCAGTCATATTCGCCMTTAAATCACGAGCATCTCTTACACCATTCATGACAAGTATGCAGTCTAAATCTGACCTGCCTTTCAATGCAGTGCCTTTGCCCATTGATCCTCCCTGAATAGGTAAGAAAAGAAGAAAAAATCATGATTTGATAAAATCAAGGAAAAGTCTGATCTTGATAAAACTTATATCAAAATAAACTTTCATTTATTAACTATGTCTCTGGWRAAAATAATGATTGCAGTCCTTCTRCARCRCGAGATACAGCSGATTTAATTYAGGTGGTCGTGAGTTTTGGAAACTRGAATGAGCGWCCTWAAAACGCGGTTGGTACGTTTGCTACACAAAGATAGACTGAAAGAGAGCTTTTGCTTCCAACCCCTTTTACCTTTATAAGGCATATCACAGTCGGCGGTCGCATGTTAACTTGTAGGTAGAAATACAAGTTGTGCAAAGCCTTTGAAACTAAGTCATTAAAGGCTTCATCTGGCTGAAGTTGTTCAGCAATGAATTTGTCAAGACATGCTGGTGGTAGTTCTCTAAAGTCATCTGTAAAAAGAATATGTCGTTTATGATGCATGATGATTATGACCATGATAATCACTATGATAATGATGATGATGGTTACAGGCTATGATGATGATTATAGAATCATCAAAAGAAAGCCGTCAATTACCAGCCAAAATATCTGTAATCAATGTATGTACTAAAACTCATCTGTAAACTGATTATTATTATCATCATTATTATCACCATCTTCATGATTATTCAATCATTAAACGAATCAGACACTCATCTACCAATATGTGATCTCTCACTATGTTTAC